AGGTCTGCACTTTTGTGACCTGAAGATTTTACTCAAAAAGCTTCTGGCTTCCAAAATTCAGGAGAGAACAAGGTTTTCTGCACTCACCTGTGCTTGCCTGTGTTTCACTTCCACCATATGAATGCAGAAGTTGGCTGGTGGGCATTAAGCCTGGGTTCTAGTTCCTGTACTTATAGCTGGTGGACGAGAGGGCTCTTTAAGATCAGCTGGTTTGCTGATGGGCAGATGCCCTCACCAATTAAGATTAATTCAATGAGACTGATGTAGTTCAGGGTATGCCAGTGAGCAGCAGGTTAACCCTGAGCACCTGTGATGACAGAGGGACTGCCTGCACCACCAGGTCTGTTTCTTGCTCTGTGTGGTCAGCAGAAGGTTTCTGTGCTGCCCAGCTCTCATGGGTGAGTAACTCCTCCTGTGGCAGGGGAACTGAAAGTGCTGGCTCACAGCAGTGCATAGGAGCTTTCTTGCCTCTTGGACTGGGTGACTCTGGTTGTAAGAGCCTGAATCTGTAGATACCAGATTTCGTTCCCCTCCCTCCTTGGGGCAGAGGTGGTAGTGTGAGATGTGTCAGATGAGGAAGCAAGAAGCTGCTTTTTCTTTACAGTTTTTACTGAGCTGGGGGTGGAGATTCACTGTCTCTATTGCTTGTGGACATCCCTGCCCAGGGCAGGAAAAGATTCAGTGTTTCTCAGAACATGAGGTTTTTCCCTTCATGGCTGGTGGATGAGAGGCTGTGCAGGGCACATGACTGCTGTCTGGCAGGGTTACCCATTTTTGTAACTTGGACTTGATTGGCACTTCTGTGATACAGGATAGAACTGCAGCAAGGGACATACTGAAATTGTTTTTCTGGAGGAATTGTTGCTAACTTGAAAAGATAGTGGGACTTGGCAGAGTAGGTTTTTCCTTGTCTCTTTTATTTTTGTCAGTGACATCCTAAGCACCTGATGGAAATGTGTGTTCTCATTCTCTTGCTATGTCAATTGCCAAATCTCCAGATCAATTTCCTTCAGATGTAATATTTTCAGGCTCTATTCTAGAAGAGTTCAGCCTTTATTTTTTTTATCTTAAACCACAAAATGTAGGAAGAAAATGTTTGCTGACTGTCAGGCCCTGGTGGGAATGTGTGGTTCTTCTCTTTGCTGCCAACTTCACTAAAAAGACTTGAATGACTCAATGTGTCTTGATGAACATTAGTGTGTCACATAGGGCTTGTCAAGATTTCCCTGACTGGCACCTGCATGAATCCAGCCACAGTGGAATGCAGCAAGCTGGAGGATGAAGCAGGGAGGGAAGAAGCTGGAGTCTGCCCGAAACTGTGCTCTATTCTGAAGAGTTGAGCTGCTGCAGCCACCTTTCCCCCTCAAATCCCCCCCAGCCTCCATGGCTCAGTGCTTCTGCTGCTGCCACATTTGCCTATGTTTCCTATTACAGGAGGCTAAAGCTGTCATTCTGATCAACAACAAAATCAACAAAATACTGAGGGAGAAGAGATGAGTTTGTCAGGAATAGAAATTGCTGTTTTGTCGTGAGTTGCACTGGGGGGAAAAAAGATGTTTTTCTGTTGAATGATAGCCAGACAGAGGCGGGATGGTGGAGAATCAAGAGGGGCCACAGGGTAGCAGATGTGATAAAGGGTGGAGGTGCCCCAGGGTACCAGCTGAAAGTACCTGCAGGGAGCACATGTGCCTGATGGCATGTGAGGAGAGCCACTGGCCAGCTAGTGCCAGAAATGGTGCTCTGGATGCTGAGGTGGTTCTCCTATCTTCACTGTCTGTGCAGCCTTTAGCAAGTCTATGCCTCTATTGCCTTTAGCTGTGTTTTTTTAGCATCTTCAGAGTGAGGAGAGAGGACTGATTCTACTGCATGCACATACAGCACCATGCACAGGAGGATCATTGTCACCAGAGCATTTGGCTACTGCTGTAATATGCAGCATCGAAACATCTCCAATTTTAAGGGTCACTAATCAGCTAATGCCTACATCTTTCACTCTTGTTTTCTAGTACAACCAGACACAAACATCTCTTGAATCTTTCGGTATGATTTCTTTCCTGACACACCAAAATTGGGGTTGACTCTGTGGGGTTTGTGCCTCAGTAACACAGTGGTTGGATGTTATCAGAAGCTACAGGGTCTTGTGGGAAGAGAAGGGTGGCAATACAGTTAAAGCACGGGGACAGGAGTAGTACTCCCAGTTCCGTTTCCTTTATTGCTACAGATTGATTTTACCCTTTTATAGACTGGCAGAGATCTGAGATAAAATTGTGTATTGCAGTAGTGCCTTATAGCTTAGGCACAAGACCTTGCTGTGCGAGGTGCTGCTGTCATCTTGCTTACAGTGAAGGTCAGGTATTCTGGCTATCTACAATGTCTGTGGCTTGAACCAGGACCAAAGCCTTTGCTTCTAAGCCAGTTGGTGCAGCTGACTTGGATACAAGTTTCTTGGGGATATTGCCTTCTGGAATTAACTGGTTGTATCCATGTGGCACAGCAATAGATCTAGATCTCTTCTGTACCCTATGTTACCCATGGCCAGAAAACACACAGGGATTTGACTTTGACAATATTTTTTTTTTCTTCTGTTGAAATCTGTAAGAAATAATGAAACAGTGGTGTCATAGCCCTGTAGAGTGCTGTATTTATGCAGTGACATTGTGTTGTATTTGTGTTGAGTCTGTCTGTTGCCTGTGACCATAATGGATGAGTCATCTTTCCCTGTCCTTGTCTTGATTCCTGAGCCTTTTGCTTTATTTTCTCCTTCCCATTCCTGAGGGGGAAGGAGTGAGTGAGCAGCTGTGTGGTGCTCAGTTGCCCTCTGGACTCAAGTCACTACAGATATCCAGTGGCATGAGCGTGTGCCTGCTATGGGAGATGGTGTAGATGCCTGTGAAGGGGGACAACTGAAGGCATGAAGCTTGCTGGACAACTCCAACACTGGCTTACTGGCAAAGAAAGTCAAGTTTGGTTCTATCTGCCTCCACACTGCCTGGGAATGCACTTGCCTCTTTGCTGGAGGAACGTAGTCATCTGACTCCAGAAGAGAACTGGAAGTGAGCTAGCATGTATGCTGTGGAGGATGAGGGAAAGTGGCTTGAGAATGAGCCAAACATATGATGTAGACATGTTCACAGCCCTGTGGGTGAAACAGATAGAGTGCTTCCTTGTACTGTGGCTCCCTGCATTTTTCTGTTTAATCTGGAGTGGATAGCTGAGGGCTCTTGTATTCGCAGTGTTCAGGATGCGCGACAAGGCCAAATGCCTACAGCTGACAGCAAGGAATACCACTTCTTAGTGCAGAATAGGATGTTAAGGTGAAGCTCCTGTAAGGAAGTCAGCCCTTTGAGCATGGCAAGTGCATGGGATTCCCCTTCTCCCAAACAACTGTCCTGCAACCCAGCTTTTTCCTTCTCTATCATGCCTCTTGTCCTTGGGCTGCCTCTCTTGGCTGCCTCTCCCTTGCCCAGTGGGAAATAAGGCACATGTTACCATATACTGCCTACCATGGTATCTTCTGCTTCTGCTTGGGCTGGGCAGGTGCTGTGGTTATCAGGAAGCAGAGTCTTTGCACCTCTGTGCCTTCTCTTGTTCAAAATGCTGCCTGCATCTTGAATTTCAGGTAGCTGAATTCCAGCTGGCTCTGGCGCTCTTCCTGTCCTCTGCCCAAGAGGTGGCTTGGTAAGGCTTCTGCTTACTTGCTCTTGGCAGGCTAAGAGGGCATTTGATATTACATTTAGTAACTCACTGGATATTTGGTAACCTGGTGAGATGTAGCAGCACAGTCCTGGGGGGCTCTGATTCCATGATCACTGTCAAAGCCGTGATCCCAGGCACTGCCTGCCCAAACAGGAAAACACTGTGCCCCTGCCTCTGGGCTGACCCTCCATCCTGGGAGGATCATGGATGTAGGCAGGCAAAAGTTAGAGCAGAAGAAATGGATCTGCTGCTTCGAAAGTGTGACTCATCTATCTGGCCTCCCTCAGAGAATGTGACCACTGCTTGGAAGCCAACAGCAAGGAACCGAGAAGCTCACAGGAGCCGGGAAGTGCTGGCAAAGGAGCTTGTTTGGTGGTCCAGGCAGATGGGTGAGTGACAGTGAAGAATGCAGGCCACCTCTACCGTCACCACTCTGCAATGGGGCTGTGGAGTTTGGCAGAATGCTCTTGGAGGTTGGTGAGCTGGATGTCTGCCTGAGAAGGACAGCAGTCTCTGCGTGGGCTCCCCTCGCTGCGGAACAGGGTGGTGGAGAGCCTGACTCTGCTCAGGGCTGCCCTGGATCTGGAGCACACCGGGGATCCTCTCTGTGAGCAAAACCAACCTACTGGAGGACATGATTACTGCTTGAGACACGGCCCAGTGCTTGAACTCCTTCCTCCAGGCACCTGCATGGCTGCAGCAGCCAAAGGTGTGTCAAACACAAACTGCAGCTCCCCTGGGTGTCTGACAGCCTGAGTGAGCTGGAGGCAGCAGAAGGCCTGGCACAGCCCTGTGACACAGCTTGTCTCATGGAGCACTTGGGCACTGTAGGGGCTAGAGCCTCCGCTGTGTTCCTGACTTTGTTGTGCTCTGCACAGACCAGGCTGCCCTGTGATGAGATGGGCTAATTCTGCCCATATGCCATGCTGATGGGCACACATTGCAAGTGCTCCCACAGCCCTGGGGATCCCTTTTGCCCAGTGTCCCTTTCCCGGTATAGTTCTTTCCTGCTTCTCACACTCCAGCATATGGGAAGACAATCTCCTGGTGGGAGATGACTGATCACCATCTTCTTTGGTTTTGCCTGAGCATTCCACACTGGGGACAGGCGACCAAGAGGCTTCCCCTGCCCTTAAAACCAGGCTTGACACCTATTCTGGGGGTTTAGATGGGATAGAAAATGGAGGCCACTGCTTAGGGTAGAAACTCCCAGCTTGGGATTCAGCTGTCTGAGCAGTGACTTTCTTCTGAGATGTTCAGGACCGGAGCCAGCAGTTAAGAGAAATACAGATCACAGAAGGAAAAAGGCTCTCAAATGCAGGTGCAATTTATTGTTTTTACAGATTCATACAACACTGGAGCTACAGCAAGAGGGGAGAAAGGAGGCAGCAGCTTTCAGAGGTAGGGGATAACAGCAGCGGTAGTGAAGCAGGAGCTGAAAGTGTCCTCCTTGGAGTGGGAGCAACCATCTAACCCCAGGGCTTGGGCAAAGGAGACTCAGGCACCTGGTGTCACAGATGCAATGGCATGGGAGGAGGCTGCTCTTTGGATCCTCCTGATCTAATTGTATTGCCTTCCCCAAAGGGTAGCAGACATCCGAACAGCTACTATCACCTCACTTGGGGATGTCCTGCTGCTTCCTTTCTAGAGCTGTAGCCACAAGCAGCTTGACAAAGGGGTAAATCAGAGCAGCAAAGTGTGGGAGCATGCACTGTGTAAATATGCACTCTCCAGCTTGCACAAGGAGCAAACACAGTTGACGTGCGACCTCTGTGCCAAGCCTGTCACTGTTATAGTTTGGCTTTGCCAGAGAGAAGTCCTTGCCATGTCCATAAGGACCAGTGATAGATGTTTCCCAGGGAGAAAGGAATTAAAAGCAGGTGAGCATGGGGCCTTGAAGCATGAGTTTTCCAGGGCAGCAGCTGAGCGGAGATTAGGGTCATGCTGACTTCATGACACTGTTGACCCAGGGAAGGTAAGGAGCAATGTGTGTGTAGAAACCGGGCCAATTGTTGTGCCTATAGGAGAAGATGCCATAGGCTTTGTTGTTGCAGACGAGTGGATCCCCAGCATCACCCTGTAAAATGGAGGAGAGAGATAAGTGTGGATTTCTGTGGGGTCCCCAGGAAAAGGGTGCATTTGCAAAGAACATGGAGGCTGCAAATACAAGGACAGAGCTTCCCCAGGAGAAGCTTGGACTTGAAATGGATGTGGATAGCTTTGGGTCCAAAAGGGGCCACTGACAGTTTTGTCTGGAACCCAGCACAACTACAGCTGGGCAGACATTGAAGCTTAAAGTATCGCTTCATTTCTGCCCTTCTGCTGGCTGTGGAGCACTACAAAATTCACTCAGATCAGCTATGAGATTTAGGGCAAACCCCTCTTTGGCCAAGCTGTTGTCTTGTTCTGCTGTTGCAGGCTCCTAGGTCCTCTGCTGTGGGAAGACAAGGATGCCCTTGTCCCTTCTGCTTCGCCCAGGGCTGAGCACAAGCATGATACCTGCAGTCAGCAGGAATGCTGCTGATCCTCTGAGAGTCCAATCCTTGGAGATCAAGACCCAGGGTACCTCTTGTGCCAGAGCAGCAAGAGAGAGGGGATGCTGGTGAGGAAGCATGGACTGATGGGGGAAGGGAGAGTGAGGGGATGACAAGAAGCAGTTTTAGACAGTACCTTTCCAGTGAATTTTCCTGCCCATGTCACGTTTGTGCCCAGCACCTGGCTGAAACCTCCCCCACAGCCTTCTATTCCCTAAGTCAGAGACTGACCTTTTCAGGTACCCCAGCAGATTCACTGCGACCACAAATCAAGTTGTCAGCAAGTCCTGGATAGTGGCTGAGGCAGTCCCTTTGTTTGATGATGGTGACGGTGGCTTCGCATAATGTGGCAGCAGGTGTTTTGTAGCCCCAGCCAGCTATGCTGCATGCAGTCCCACCAGGGACTTTTGATTTTTCAAAGGAAATGGTCTTAACGTAGCTGTTGCTGGTGGCATTGCCTTTCAGCTGGGCAAGGGGACAGAAAATACAGAAATAAGTGCTTGGTCTGTAAGTGTTCTGTGACGAAGGCTGTCCCCTCCCGCCCCAGGGTTACAGCTCAGCCCTGCACATTGGGCAGATGGGACCATGCAGGTGCTCCAGGCAGGTAGTTACCTTCAGCAAGAGGATGTCATTTCCCTTCTTAGGACTCATGAAGTCTGGGTGGCAGTGATACTCTTGGACTTCAAATGTTTGCCAGCTTTCCTCTCTCCTCTGGATTGTGTGGGCTCCAAGGATGACAGTCAGAGGTTTGTGTCTGGTAAAATCAAGTGCAGTGTATGTCATTAGCTTTCTCCTGTCTTCCCTGGTAACACTGAGACACGTGTCCCAGGGGCATGGCCAGGAGAGAGCAGCTGGACTTCAAAGAAGAATGGTGGGAGAAAGAAGCTCTGCCAGTGAATCTACCCAGCAAAGAGGCAGAGCAAGTTCCCATCTGACAGACCAGAGCTCTGCAAGGGTTACTTTACCGCTGGATCTTGAGTTGAACAGATTTGGTATAATGCTGCTGCTGTGTACTAAAATGTGTGGACTGTTGGTCTAGGCTTTGTAGGCCCATTCAAGTCTGTGGCACCAAGGAGGGATTTCTAAATCAGGACCCTGCTCCAGTCCAATGTACCTCATTGGCCTCTACATTATCTGCAGAAGAGGCTGCCTTAGGAAAATCATGGGGAACCCTGGGTACAGGTAGGAGTGTCTCTGTCTAGCAGATGGGACTTGGGTATCTGGGCTCCTGGGTTCTGCTGATCCTCCTTTCTGCTGCTCAGATGTGGGGACTGGCACTGAGCCTGGGTTACTGGCACCAGCGCAAAGCTGTCAGGCCTGAGGAACATAGTAGTTACACCCAGAGTCACTTGTGTCTATAAAAGCCCTCTTACATGTCCACGGCCCAGTTTTCTCAGCTGGAGGGATGGAAGAGAGCTCAGCAAGCAGCTTGGTCATAAGAGACTATTAATTCTGATATGGGTCTTTGGTGGCAGAAAAGGTTCAAAGCTTGACACCAGCAATCCCTTCTGTGCCAGCAGGCCAGTGATAGCAAGCAAAAAAGTTGGTCTGGCTTCTCATTGTTCATGTCTGGGAAGAATAAATTGAGTCATGGAGAGGGAATAACAAAGTAAAGGTAAGTATTTGAACGTGGACTGGGGAGGGACATGAGGAAGGATGGCTCAAGGGAGAACTGCAGACGTATCCCTGCTGTTTCAGTGCTACCCCCACAGCCTTGCCCTGTCCCAGCAGTTCAGCCTGTATTCCCTGGAGGGAGTTTGGCCACAACCATGAAGGAAGTGACTCAAACTGTTAGACCTCCATCTAGATGTTACCTGGATTGTGGCAGTGTGACAATCTTGTTGTTCCAGGTGCTGTATGAATATAGCAAAAACTTACATGAAGCACTGTGCCGCTGTCATCACCCAGTTCGGGGCCACTAGGAAGCCTCCGCAGAAATGGTTGTTCTTTCCTTGCAGATAGGCCATGTAGGGTGTGGAGTGGGTCTTGACTTCACGTCCTCCCTCCATCCGATTCCAGGCATAATCTGCAATGGACGGGACTGAGGATGAGGGGATTGGAGGACACAGGGCACAGGACATGCTATCCGGGACTCTTCTTTCCCAGCCCTCTCCTCACCTCCAGGCTGCTCTACTTACTGGCTTTAGCTGAGCGGCATGTCACCAGCAGGAGGGAGAGCAGGAGTTTCTGCAGGTGCTTCATCGTAGCGTCCTCAGCTTCAGTGGATCCCTTGGAGGTGAGGCTGCAGCTGGGGTCTCTTCCTGCTCCCAGCAAGGTTTTATAGCCTGACACTAGACTCCAGGAAACCACAGAAGTCAGACTCATCTGATTAAACTATCTGCAAATTGCATGCCTCAGCGATCTGAGAGGGGAATTCGGTCAGCCTTAGCCTTGGGCACCAACCCACCTTCATCATGGACCTGATCTAGAGTTTCTGACATCCTTCAAAACCCAGATCCAATTTTATTCCATTGCTTTTGAACTGGAAACTGTAGGGAGCATACCCACCCTCGTCACTTTGCCTGCCAATTTGCTTTTCCCTTGAAGCTCGTATTTGTTGTTGTGCACTTGCAAACTCTTGATTTTTATCATAAGCCCTGCAAGAATGAGATTTCTTTCACTTGATGTACCAGTTCCAAAGACAGTGCAGTCACAGTTAAGGACCCTCCTGCTCTTTCTCTGTAAGTGCGGTCCTGGCTAATAGAGCAAAATTGGTGTGAGTGCATTTATAATGCCACACTGGTCATGGCTATGTGAGGGCAAGAAGTTGTTGTGGCAACTTCATGAGTGTGGCCCACAGAAGCACGACTGTTGCTGTTACCACAAGGTCTCTGTTCTGCACCAGCTGCTGACTTAGGGATCTGCTTTGTACAGCAAAAGACACCATTTTAAGTGTTTCTTTACAGATGTAATTATTCACTGCTAAATTGGGGAGCTTGCTGTCTCTTACCAACCAGTGTGAGGGAAGATAGGAGGATACCTCCTTGGCTCTGGTCAGGGGCTCACTTTCCCTCTGATGCATTGAGGGTGGATGGAGACAGGGATGTGGGTTTGGGATTCTGCCCCTTCACTGGCTGGAGAGAACCTGATGACGTGTTTCCCTGAAGCTGGTCTTATTCCTCCAGGAAGGGTCATATCTAAGCACGTCACAGCCAGCACTGTCCCCACCCTGACAGGCAGTGATTTTAAAATGTCAGACAAATGCCACGGTGCCTTTCTGCAATGCATAGTGGGGATCTGTCTTCCCTGGACCAGACCCTTTGGCAGCTGAACACACTTCCCCCACCCCTGGCCCTCAAGATGTCCTCTTGCCTCCCCACTGGCACCAGTGCACAGGCACCAGTGGAAGATGGGCGTCACTCACCCCAGCAGAGGTTCCTTCCTTCGGCTGTGATGAAATGGGGCCAATATGTCCTTGCTGCCCTCATTGACCTGACTGCCAGTAAATTTGCTTTCCTATCTGCCCACAGTTCCACAGGGAAAAACCCATTTTTAAGCTAAAAGCTGCCATTCTCGTGCAAAGACTGCAGCAGCTGGAGCTTCAAGGAAAACCCTGACGTGACAAACATTTGTGCTACACAGATAAGCAGTTGCAGCCTTTTCACTTGCAGATTTCCAGGCTGATAGCAGCTGTCAGCAAGAAGCCCAAACCATGGACGCTTCTCAGTTTCCCCAGTGTGCAGCATGGGTGATGAAGGCAAAGGTGACGTAGTTTCCCTTCATCCCTGGCAAGAACAGGAAGAACGTAAGAGCAGACATCCAGGGCCAGACTGCAGGCAATCTCCTCCCTCTGACAGAGGAGGCTAGTGGGAACCTTGAAAAAACTATGAGAATAGGGCAAACATCCAATTCCCTTGAATTGCACACAGTTTCTGTATTTTTAAAATTCTCCACTGGGTTTCCCCAATGCAAACCAGTCCAGTCTCTTCTTGAACTTGCACAGACATCTGTCATACTGCACCAGGGAGTTCTGCACTGCCTCTGCCCCTTGTCATCTCCTCCAGGGAAGTATCTAGCACTCTCCTGTCTGCATACAGGAGATGCCATCAGAAACTATCTGGAACAAAGGAGACTAGGGCTTAAGAGTATAGGCAGGTTGTTTTACGCCCAGTGCAGGCCATGGAAGGAGGGGCTGGTGCAAGTTATTCAGACTCTAGTGCAGGGACTCTCTGAAAACTGTGCTAGAGCATCCTTTGTCAGGAGAAGCAGCTCACCTGTGAGCATCATTTGCACGAAGGGAGAGTAATTTTTGTGCCATTGCTAGAACAGTCTCTACTCATCCTTTACTGCTGGGGCTGGGCTTGCCTTCCTGACAGGAAGCCAACAAGCTTTAAGGTAGACAGCTCCCAGCTAGGACTCACCGTTGCCTTCTCCAGGGAAAGAGTTGGGCTCTCCTGCGGCTCTCCTGCCATAGTTGGCATGAGGGGAAAGGAAGAAGTGGCACAGGGTCAGGTGCTTTTGTGAACCCATGTCCTGTATCAACCCTTCCAGTACAATCCTTTCAGACTGTATCAGTGTCTCTACCCAGGGCATCATGTTGCTGTTCATGAGATGGAGGACTGTGTCTGCTGGAGGATGGCAGAGGCAAAGACTGAAAGCACTGGTATGCAACAGCTGGGACTTTTAAGTATGTCTCCTCTCTAGGATTCTAAAACCCTGTTCCAGGAATCTCAGCCGCCACTTGCCCTACTCCCAAGGCAGGGCAGAAACAGCACAGTCCACAAAAACTCTGGCTCCCTTTACCTGCCGGAGCCTCTTACAGCTAAGGCACCTGAAAAGATTAGCCTGGTTTCCCCTGTGACCCAGCCTGCTGTTTTGGCTGTCCTATGTCCTAGGTTGCAACATCACACAGGCATGAGGTCCCTGCAGAGGGAACAATTGTTACTTTGCAGGGAGTGGCAGCTTTTGACCCCTGGTACCTGCTGACACCCCACATCCTGGCTGTCAGCTGCTCCCAGGCAGGTGGTGATGCTGAATTTGGTGAATGGAGTGTGTGCAAAACATTTTTCCCAGCCTGTTTACCTGCCTGCCATACGTTCATCCTCATGAATCCAGGAAGGGCAACTGTAGCTCTTGTCCTCCAAGTCTGCCAGCAATTCAGTGGATGCAGATCTACGACCCTCTATCCCAGCAGGCTGACCTCTCACTTTCACTAGCTAGACCCTCCCTCCCTTCTCCCTGGGGCAAGGTACAAGAAAGAAGGCATACACTGGAAAATGCAGCTCTGAATTTACTATGGGTGTTCTAATTAAGGCAAGGTTCAAGCAGGGACAGGGTTATCTCTGAAGAAAACAGGGCTGTTGCTGTACAGACTCTTTCTGGTGCCATCTGGGACAATCCTTGCTTCTGCCAGGGTGATTTAACATGGCCCTGAACTGGCTGCCTGAGATAGGCAGGGAATGGGACAGCCAACAGCCTCAGAACAGATCAGAAGACACTGATCAGGTCACTCAGGTTCCCAGGGAGAAAGAAGGGAGTCAAGCCTTCAGCAGGGGCAGGAAGGAAACCAGTGCAGTCTCCAGGGCCGCACCAATGCCGGAATGAGTGCAGCTGCTGCTACGTCTTCAGGGTTTTTTTGATCCAGGGCAGATAGTTGGAGATGCGGGTGTAGACACCAGGCGGGGTGTCGTACCCAAAGGAAACACTGCCTTGTGCCACCTTATTGCATACCGGGGGCCCACCAGAATCTCCCTGAGGACAGATGAGAGACTGGGTTTAGAGGTCTATTCCCTGTGGGAACATGTTTCATCTTGGTCCCTCCCCACCCAGGCACTGCCAGCGGGACTGGCTCTGCTCCAGCCCCACATGTCCACCAAGTTGGAGGAGCTGTCAGGAGCAGGTGAGCTGGGGCTCTTCCCCTGGGACTGCATATGGACCCATGGTGTCAGGGCATCCAGAGAGCTAGTCCGCATGGGAGCTACAAATCAAATGCTTGTCACCTCTCCTGGGAACCAGCTAAGTCTGTGCCAGCAGCAGCCCCTGCTACCAGAGAGCCTGCCTGCCCTGCAGCCAAGCCCCCAGCCCGTCAGCAGCCCATACCTGGCTGGAATCCCTGAGCTCATGGAAGCTGCCAGCACAGACCATGCCGGTGTTGAGATTTGGATAGAAGTGGACGCATTTCCTGTGGCTGTAGACGGAGACTTTGGTTTCAAAGAGCTTGTTGGTCGCCTGGACATCATCGATCATGCCCCACCCCACTATGCTTCACCTGGTGCCCGTGGGGAGGTCACTGCTGGTCTTGGGCAGTTGAATGGTCTTGACGTAGTCATTGAGAGTGACCTTTGTTGCCAGCTGGGAAAAAGCAAGGTTTTTGGAGAAGGCTGTGAGCAGAATAGCTGAAGGACACTTCATGCACAGAGGTAGGGGAGGTCTAGCAGGACATATAGCACTGCAAACTCTGGTGAGCTGCTGTTAAACAGGGCATGCTGCTCCAAGCCCTGCCCATGGTTCCCTCCCAGGTCCCTCCCATTCCTGCTTGCCTCCAGCACTCATGGGCCGAAGGAGCTGATGGTTTGCAGAAGGAGTTAACAACAAGAATGTGCTCCGTCCAGACTCTGCTAGACCCACAGCCCCGCTCTACCCTCCCACCCACTGCCTGCTGCAGGACTGCGTTACCTTGAGCAGCATGATGTCTAGACACGGTGTTGGGGTTGTATTCAGGGTGCCGGGTGCCGGTGGTAACTGAGAACTCCCCGGACCTGCTGGGTTGTTTCTGGTTCGTGGATGTTGTGAGCTCCAAGGATGACCGTGGCATTCCTGACCATGGCAGCAGAGGGGAGAAGGGGGAAAACAGATTGGGTCTCACCCCTGTCCCTCCCCTTCTGCAGGCAGGTGGAGAGAGCTGCTTGGCATAGGAGGAAGAGGAACCTACTTCAAAATTACTCCTGTGATGGACCCCATAGGTTAGGGGAGGAAGAAGGGAAAATACTCACCCCATGCAGTGTGCGGCTGTCATCATGCAGTTAGGGGCCACCAGGAAGCCTCCGCAGGAAAACAACCCTACCTTCAGGTATGCCATGTAAGGGTGGGAGTGGGGCTGAGCCTCGTGGCCCCCCACAATCTGACCCCGTAGAGCACCTGCAAGACATCCCTCCGCAGGATGAGCCAGTGGCTGCTGAGGTCAGAGCCCAGACCAGCAGCCTCACTCGCAGCAGCTTGCGGCACCCCAGCTTACTGGCACGGGCCCATGGGGAGGAAAGCAGGAGCAGCAGGGCCAGCTGGACACTCCTTCCAAGATGTGTGGAGGTCTGAGTCTCCTAGTGCCCAAGGGCTGGTTTTATACCCTGGGACCAGCTGTACCCAGCAGCCAGGAAACCATGTGCGATGGCCTGATTGTGCTAATCAGAGCAGTGCAGCATCCCTGCAGGTCTGCTGACATCTCTGCTGCCCCAGCCTGCTCACATGCCCCACGTGCCCTGAGGCTGTGATTTCTGAGTGATAGAGCAGCACAGAAAGGCCAGGGCAGAGAGAGCGTGGTATGCCACAGTCCCAAAGCCTCAGGGATGCTGACCAGGAGAGGTGTCCTAGGTCATTTTTGAGGTGTGATTTAGCATTTCTCCTGCAGTTTGGCTGCAGGGCAAATCACATCCACCTGCTTCAGTGTCTTCGAGCATTGGATATCAGGTGCTCTCATACTGTACCTTCAGTAGCTCATGCCACTTGCTCCTGGGGGTGATCAGGTCACTTTATGCTTTGTTGGCAAGTGCAATGACTGAAGATGCTCTTTCCCCTCTATGGTTTCCCCTCTGTAGCTGGTCTGGCCACTGGCACATCTGTTCAAATGGGACCAGGGGAAGCCTTCCTCTACCCTGCTCTGGATATTCTGCTCTCTACCTTACCTGACCTGAATTGTCTGCAAACTAGGCTGCAACTGCTCTCTTCACCTTGCCCCTAGTAAAGTGTGATTTGGTTAAATGCTGAACTAAGCACCAATCCTGCTGCACTTGTCCCTTCCTAGCCTTGTGGTCCTGAACAGAAACCACCATTGGGCTGCCCCAGGTGAACTTGCTTCAAAGAGATGATCAAATCTTTGTGTCAAGGGCACAAACCTGGGGCTCAGGACACCTATGTTCTTCCTATTCCTGGCTTTCACACTGCCTTAGCTGGTGGCTGCTCTTTCCTTCTGATCTTTGGGCCTCCAGTTGCCTCAGTGTGTCCTGTGACGGCAGCTGAGACTGTCCAGACTCTCAGGCTGTAAGCTGAGAGGGAGCTGTGCCATACAGTACTGTGTTATTGAAAGTTGTTCTTCCTGTTTGCACTTCCTAGCCCTTATCTACCTTAATTTCCCACTCCTTCCCCCCTCCCACCAGGTTGTCCCTGTGTGCTGCAGCACTGTTTCTTGCTCCCTGGGGCTTGTCTGGGCAGTTGTCTGCCCACAGGAAAGCATAAATCTATTAGGATTAATGCTGTGTGAAGTGTTTGCTCTGCTCAGGAGGGATTGTATGTTGCATACTGGAAGGACATCTTTTCCATGCTCACAGACTTACAACAACTCTTGACTCTGCTTTAGCACACGAGTATCTGAGGGGCTGGGAGAGGAGGCCATAGAGGAGGCAGCAGGCTGCCACGCTGGAGCCATGAGGCCTCTCTGCTGCCATAAGGACAACAGCTGTCCTTAGGCCACAGCCAGGTGTCACTCCTCCTGCACCCAGCCTCATCCCTCCTATTTTGAGTGTTGGTCAGGATTAAACCTTCCCTCAGATGCTCTCCAGAAATTTTCTCTGAGCCCTGAAGTCCAGCCCTTTCCCTTGCTTTGCCCCATTGGCACCAAAGTCTGGCTTAGGGACACAGCAGGCAATTGCTTGGCCATGGACACTGCTCATCCCCAGAGGCTGTGCTTATGTGACAAGAGGGACAGAGCCCAGGAGTGTGAGCACTTGCAAGGTAGGGCAGCCAGGTCCCTGGCTGGCATGCCAGCTGCTAAAGCTGGAGCAGTGCTCTCCTCTCCTCTCATGTCCAGTGAAGTTGTGGGCAACTGCTAGCTGTTCTTAAGCAAAGCAGCTACTCCGAAACACCTTCCTCTACTGTGTAGATGAACAATTTGCTATTGAAAGGATGGGGAGAGCTGGGGAGGTAGGGGATAATGCCTCCTTTTAATCCCTGGAGTACTTTCAACCTGGTTCACATAGGCAGGAATCATTCCAGACACTCTGGCTGAGGTCACTGCCAGTTCTCTGCAGGCATCTGGTTTAAATATGCTAACCTGGGCTTGTAACTGCAGCCAGGAACTGATGAAAAACTGCATCCAAGAACTGTGAAAAAATGCAACAGACAAAGGCAATAGAACAATTGGCATTCAGGCTTCAATGCCACGCCCTTCTTCCCCCCAATCCCCTGCCTGAATCCTTGGTTCCTGCTATGGGAGATCTTTCTACACAAAGACCCTGTCTATGTGCCCGTTCCCTGGGACACTTTCTGCCAACACTCCTCAGGGTCCTGCACATCACTTGAAGAAAATGAGGCTTGCTTTAATCTTAAATCACCGTCTCTGGAGCAGTCCCCGGTTACCAGTCCTAATTCAGGTCTGTGATAAGTCGTTTAAACTCAGCTGTGCCTGCCCATAAAATGTGATACCAGTTTTGCTTCCTGATGTGTGTGATTTCAGGTTAAAAAGCACATACAGCTCCAAGGCTCCCAGCAAAGAAGAGCAGATCAGAAGGAAGACTTGTCCTAAAAACCCATTTGGCAAGCGGTACGGGTGCTGCTTCATGGCAGACATGTCCTGCACGGGCAGTGCTGCCAGGCCTGGCACAAGCACAATGCTTAGGTGCTGTCGTTGCCTGTTTGCAGTATGCCCTGCAAGCTCAGGTAAGATGCCCTCTGGCACTCTGCTCACAGGTCAGAGAGGCACAACACTCATTTCTCCCAGCCCCTCCTCCCCTGTCTGCTTGGGACAGTTTTCACTGTTCCATCCAGGGCTCAAATCTGGGGAACTCTGAGCAAGCTGATGGCAGGGTACCCATGCTGGGGGCACATGGGCAAGCTGACAGGGCAACTGTCCCAGGAGGGCACCAGGGAGGCAGTGAGGCTGAGCTGTCAATTAGTCTGCATTGCTAGGAGGAGGTCATTTGTGGGAGAGCTGTGGTATGAGAATGGAAAACCCCTGAAACAGTTCCTGGAAATAAAATCAAAGTACGTGTCTCGGTATAAACAAACCAACAGATAAATATATCCCTCTCTTACTGCCCAGAGCAGTGTCTAGCACATCAGAAGAGCCACTGCCATCGTAGTAGGACTGTACTAACTCAGGCAGGGAGGTCTGGGTGTATGGGCTATCCTGCATGCTAGTCCTTGAGCATTGGGGCTTTTGTTTCATTAAAACCTTACTTCCAAATACAGGGCTCCCACTGCACTCTGATCCCCAGTTTCTCTCTGTAAGCAGCAGCTCTCTCCCTGAGTCTGTATCCTGCAGTAACCTTGTCTAAAGGTCTTGCTTTCTCCATGACCTATCTCAGTGGTGCTGAGCTGAAAGCTCTGAGCTCAGATGTCCAGGGCTATTTGAATTTACTTACTGCACTGTAACAGCCAGTTAGCAGTACCAGGATCAGGCTATGCTGCTGACAGTAGAAACCAGACAGCAGTTCTCTGCTGCAAACTGCTTGGTATTATATATAACAGAGAGGAAAAACAGCAGCTGGAGGAAGTGATGCACAGGATGGTAAGCAGCAGAGCTTGGGATAAGTTTACGCTCTCCAGACACAGTGCAGCAGCACCAGCCCTGCTGCCAGTAAACGCATTGCCCCTGCCCCAGCCAGGCAGCACTAACCGCAGGGAGGTGTGTTGCTTGTCCTTCCTCCACAGTGCACAGGTTAGGTTTTGAACCAGCCTGATTTCCTCTGCATGGTGCTTGGCGCCACACCCCTGCCAGCTCCCCCTTGCGCAGGCATCACCCTGCTGTTTACTCTAAGCTCTCCCTGGCCCATTTCCTGGGTGAGGACTGGTTCCTCCCTGCCATCCTCACATGAACACGGAAAGAAACAGCCCTCAGCTGTAAGCCTGTGGGGACAGGTCTTGCACTGAGGTGGGCCCAGCCTCAGAGGGTGCAAAGCGGCACTGATGAGCTCGCATGAGGGACTTCATTGATCCTGCAGAGGGGACCCTAAGCGAGAGGCTCCAGCCAGGTCTCTGGAGCAGCCCATGGCCTTGGTCATGCCATGCTGACCATGGCTGGCCATGCCACACTGGGTGGGGGTGGCAGGAGCACCATGAATTCCCTCCTGGGGACTTGTCTGCTCACTGGAGATGTGATTGCAGGGCAGAAGAAACTAGGAGAAAGATGAGCTTGTCCCAGGCACAGTAGGAGAGGCAGTGCTGGCCATGGCATTTGGAGGAGAGCGATTGCTTCTCTGGCAATTGCCAGTGGCTGTCAGGAGCTACATGAAATGCCACACTGTACAGAACAAGCGAGACTCAGGAATTTGGTTTTGTGGCATACTTACTCTGGAGGGATGCTAAGGTATGAGCGCCTCCAAAGGTCCTGTCATACAGGCACTGAGCAATGGAAGTGCTCAATGCCTTTCACTGCATATCAGCCAAAAGGTCAAAATCTCAAACCTGTCGCAAAGGAGGGAAAGATGTAACACCATGGGAGACAGGGTCTGGGCTGGCTCACTGATGATGTGTTTGATTGGGATGACTTCCGAGTAATTATACTGGGGTGGACAGGGGGAGAGCATTTTATAAAGTTGTTTGTTTTCTGTTTAATGTTTTTGCATTGAGGGAATGCAAGTTTCTAAAGAAAAGTCACTTAAAGAAAAAAAATCAACAAAACTTTGACATTTAAGGTCGTTAATGGTGGTACAGCGGAGACGATCCTAAAACTTTCATGTTCTCGTTTTCCTTCAAATCCAGAGATGTACTTCAGAGACTCTTCCTACAGAGACCCACCATCATCACCACCCAATTTCAACGAACTGAGACCCAGGCACAACAACTGTTCCTGGGACAATTCTTTGAGCACTGTGAAGGGCCAGGTCTCTGGGGTTTGGTGTCAGCCCAAGTCAGAGGGGCCTTGCTGGCTCTTCCCAGCTCCTGTTGGCCCAGAAGCAACCTGCCATGTTGTGGACTGGGATGTGCCACTGGAAAGGTGACTGCCTGCTGCTGCACAGTGGAAGAGACCAAAGCTAGGAAATGCAACCAGCCGACAGAGTGATCAGTCATTTTTAAACCAGCACAACTCCACCCTTCCTGGAGCAGAAAAACACCTGTGGGCAAATGGATGCCTTGGCTGATGTTGGGCTGTGCTCGCGCCACACAGCGGGGACAGGATGGGTGGGTGGGGAGGAAGCCTTGTGGGACAGAGATGAAGGTGCCCACTGTTCGTGAGCCAACCGGGGGGTTGCCTGGCTAGGCCCACCAGGCAGAGCTCTCCACAGAGCTTCACCTAGGGATTTTTTTAATCAGAATGTCTGAAAGTACAAGTTTTAATCAGGACTGTGCAGCAGCACAGCAGGAAAACCTCAACAGAAATCATCGATATTTTATCTTGTATTTGTAGCTTGCTCTCTTTCTCCCACAGCTGCTTATGGCTGCCCACGATCTGGAGCTGGATGCCCTTCTGGGACCAGGAGGTCTCAGGGCAGGAGTAACCATGCATGCCACTGGCCTCAAACCTAGGGAGGTGGGCTCCAGGCTGCTCCTGCCCTGCTCCTCTCTGGGCACCCCTGTCTGCAGACAAACTCTTCCTGAGGTGCTTTTGCCTGCCTGTTGGCCTCAGTAGGAGCAGGCTGTGGAGGGTTCCAGGGCTTCTGCTGCTCAGGTGCCTCATCTCAGCATCTGTGAACACCTGCTATGGCCATGGCTATGGCAGAGGGTCCAAGGGGCTGCAGCTGGCTTCCATATCTCCCCTGGTCCTTCTAAGCCCAGCACTCAGCAGCGATCAGGCGGTTTCAAGTAGATTGTGGTCTTGATCTGAAGGAAAGAGATGAGAAACATTGCAGAATGGGGTGTCCCTCCCCCACCCCCCTTCATTTCAAAGAAAGAACATCTGAACTGAAACGGCAGCAAAGGAGAAGTACCAAGATAAAGCTCAGCCTGCATCTGTGCAGATAGCAATGGGGAGCCGCTGCAGAACAGGAACTCTCCCTTGTGCGAGTGCCCAGCTGAGGGGGAGCCCCATTTGCACCCAGCCATGGAGCTGGGAACCCTCTGCCTCAGGCCTGGCGGCAGCAGTTCTCAAAGGGACATGGGGCCTGCTCTGCTGGGCTGATTGCATGGAGTGGGGGGGACCCAAGTCTCCGCAGGCCCCCCAGGTTATGGGACTGTGCCCTGATTTGCCATGAGATGGGAGCAGTGTTTGAGGTGTGTGGTGACTTGCCATGAGGCAGGGAGCTTGGCAGGCTGCTGGGGGCAGAGGTGTGAAGGTACTGGAAGGGTAGCAGCAAGGACTGGGACACAGCTCAGGCAGCTTCCAAGAGCTGGTCCCCCTCACGATGTGCTGTGAAACTGGTGTGCCTCACAGGTACCCAGTCCCCTCCACTATGCAAAGGCCAAACAAGCCAGGTGCTAGGACAGAGCGAGGAACAAGGTTTTGTCGCACTGGAACAGCTTTTGACCAAATAAGCAGACCTGCCTTTTAGGCAGCCTCTGATGTGCTTGTGGAAAGGGTATTAGGAAGAGCCTATGATAATTTGCTGGTCCAGTGAACCAGGCACCCCATGGGTGAGTTCGCTGAGCTGTCCCAGCTGCTTATCTGCCTCAAGCCCTCCTGCAATCAAGAGCATTTGCCTCTCACCTGCCCCACACTCTCCACAGGTCTCCTTGACAAAGAGCTTGGTGCTATCAGGTATCTCTTTCCTGAGACTGTTCACATGCTGCCAGCTATTTGAGAAACTACTTAAGGCCCCTGGAAAGGCAAGTTTTTTCATCCTCTGATCTTTTAGGGATGCCTCACCAGTTCTGTCCTGAGCAGACACATTAGCGGGAGGCTCAGCCTGAAGCAAGAGGAAAGCTGGGATGATGAGCAGGAATCAGATTTGACCCTTTTGATTCTAGTGTTGTGCCAGGAGCATCTGCCCAGCCCATTAGGGAGTGTGTTCTTTGTGCTGAACGTGCAACCTTGCACTCCTCTGGATTGAGCTGCACTTATGGCCGAGCCTTCCTGCTGATTTCCTCTCCTTCAATCTTGGGGTCATCTGCTGACTTTATCATCATGAGTTTCTTTCCACGCTGCTGATAGAAAAGCCCAAAACACTGTTTAAAGGGTGAATGTGGAGGATGGAGCCCTCAGCTTTTGACGAGGACCACTATTGCTTGCACACGACTTCCTGCAGCAGGAATCTCCTTTGCATTTTCCATTTGTCTATGCTCTGACCCAGGCTAGGATCTCTCATCAAGCAGTGGGTGGACTCCCGGGACACCTCCCTGGTTGCCATAATGATGGAAGAATTCACCACCGTTTGCTGTCAACCTGGGGACCTCTCCACGGCTTTGTGGCAGTCTGGATTGAGAACACAGGTGAAAGCAGAAAGCAAGGCACACCTGCTGCTGTGATTCCAAGTTAAAAGGTGCTCTGTCTTTTTTTTTTCTCCATGCCTCTTTGCAGCTGTTTTGGGTGGGGTCCATCCTGCACAGAAATGTGGTTGATGTTGTAACTTCCCCCTTTGCACTTTGTTAGGTAGAAGTCTCATTTATTTTGCACAAGGAGCCCTCCCCACTACCTACTCTGTGCTGGGCCTCAGACAAGCAGCAGGAGAGCACCACTAGCTGCTGAACCTCTCTCTGTCAGCAAGAGCCTTGGGCCAGTCATGACAGGTGAGTCATAAGGCAAATTCAACAGATGGGGTTGGGAATAGCACATTGCAAGGCTTTCTCTCCAGTCAGGTTTTGCAGACACAGGGAATAGGTCAATGACAGACATTAACATTACAATCATGTCATGATTCCTGGGTTCTGGTCTCAGTGTAGCCCCTTGTGCCTTCTGCAATGCCAGACTAGAGGCAGCAGCTTTGTGCCTCTGTTTCTCTGTCTGTGACCTAAACAATGGGAAGACCCTGAGCCATCTCTAGCAGGTGCTTGGAGAGCTGAAGGTGGAGGGTGCAGTGTCAGGGCACACACAGGGCTTTGACCAGCTGTTTTCCTTTGAACTGAGTGGAGCTGAGCCCTAGCTTCAGACACACAGGTGCCTGGACTTGCTGCATTAACAGGGCAGGACTTGGATAGATGTATCCTGAGACTGACAGGAGCTGGGCCCACAGAGGAGCCTGGAGGGGTGAGAGCATGGAGCTTCCTTCTGGAGGAGGATGTATCTGGGTGTGGGTGGTGCACAAGACAGTTGATGAAAGGCAGTTGCTTTCCCTGGTTCAGGGGTTAATTTAATGCCACAAAAGGCAAAGCACTTATTGTCTCAGACTGTCTGGGTGCTCTTACTAGCACACACTTACTAGCTGTGTTCAGCCCAACAGACCCTACCCATCAAGGTGGGAGGTGTTACCTCATTCCACCCAGCCTGCCCTGACTCAAAGAGGGGCCTGACACATTAGTTCATTCATGTCCCACCTTCATAACCGCAGCAAACCTGAGAATAGCCAGACGCTTACTGAGAAATTATGACAGCTGTTAGAAACGATGTCAATACTCTAGGTCACAACAGGAAACTTTATTAAACAACAGGAAGCCCATGCTCGCGTGTGGACTTACAAAACACCTCACCCTCCTCTCCCCTTGCTCTTTCAGTGCCACAGGGCTGGCAGACAGGACTCTAACTCTCATCTCCGTGCTGGGTAGGACTGCTGGGATCAGAGCCGATCCTTTGTGGCAGAGTCTCACAGCTGTCTCCAGCCCTCAAACAGAGGGTCTGCTCTGCTCCAAAATCCACCTTAGAACTTGCTCCATCGTGCATCCCTTGGTTGCTGACCTAGGCTCAGAAGATGGATGGTCCGGAGCTGAGCTGGCTGGTGAATCGCTCCCTTTCCCTTCCACTGGGCTCAGCTCAATATCCTGAGCTCAGACTTGATCTGCTTGACAGGAAAGGTTCCTGCCTGCAGTTGGCTGCCATGAGGAATATAAACATCATCCTGCAGCACTACAACTTCACAGGCAAGCTGACCAACCGGCAGTCTGGGGATGAGGGCATGGGTCTCATCCGCACAACCTTTGCCATCATCAGCTGCATCATCATCCTGGAGAACCTGCTTGTGCTGCTGGCCATTCTGCGGTGTCTGCGAGCCCGCCGCTGGGTCTACTCCTGCATTGCCAGCATCACTGTGAGCGACCTGCTTGCAGGAATTGCCTACCTTTCTAATCTCTGTCTCTCAGGCAAGAAGACCTTCCAGCTTTCACCTCAGCTCTGGTTCCTGCGGGAAGGCATCCTCTTCATCGCACTGGCTGCCTCTACCTTCAGCTTGCTTGTGACTGCCATTGAGCGCTACAGTGCCATGGTAAGGCCAATTGCTGAGAATGAAGCCAGCAAAACCCTGCGTTTACGCAGCCTGATCATTTCCTGCTGGCTGCTGGCCTTCATCATTGGACTGCTTCCGCTGTTGGGCTGGAATTGCCTGTGCAACTTCAATGCCTGCTCTGTCCTGCTGCCTCTCTATTCCAAGAACTACATCCTTTTCTCCGTAGTAATGTTCAGCATCATCCTGCTGGGTATCATTGGCCTCTACATCTCCATCTTCCAGCTGGTCCAGGCCAGTTCTAAGCAAACCAGTTCTCGGCACAGCCGCAAACGGTCTCTGCGCTTGCTCAAGACTGTGTTGATGATCCTGGGTGCCTTCATCATCTGCTGGAGCCCCCTCTTTGTCCTATTGCTCTTTGATGTCTTCTGTGAGACCCAGACCTGCAAACATCTCCACAGCCTGGACTGGACCTTGGCTTTGGCCATGATTAACTCAGGTGTTAACCCCATCATTTACTCCCTCCGGAGCATAGAGGTGCGTCGTGCTGTGGGAAGCCTGCTGTGCTGCTGCTGTGTCAGTGTTGGGCTTTGCAAGCCTGGAAACTGCCTGGTCATCACAGACATCAACTCTGGCTCATCCACAGAGAGCTCCCTGCGCTACCGGGAGAGCTTCCGCAGTTCTGTAGCACTGAACACCCGGCCCAGAGCACCTCTCTCCAGCAACTCCAGCATGATGAGCAATCTCCCCAGCCTCTGAGAGGCCATAAGGAGTAAGAGATGCCCGACAGCCCACCAGGACCTCATGCTGCTGGTTCTGGCCTGGCAGAACTGTAGCCTATGTGCAGCTCAGGCTGACAAGGTGCAGCTCCACCCCAGTTGTTAACTGTGGCCAGGCTTTGCAATCCCTTCAGATTGGCATGTTGCTTCAGTGTAGGTGCAGCACAGGGGCAGACATTGCTCTTAAGTTGGGAGCAAAGGATATGGGCATATTTTGGTACTGATGCTCTGCTGAGACAACTGCTGTGCCTAGGTTATAAGTGGACCCTGCTCTGTGTGTGCATGTATATAGATGCTGTACCTGCCCAGATTAGGGTATTTTGCCCCAGGGCACAGTGACAAATAGTGTGGGTATCCCCAATCAGACTGCCCCCCAGACGCTTGGGATCAGGCTGGGCTGGCAGTGCTGCCACTGCATGTCATGTAGGGCTGGAGGAGATGCTTGAGTCTTCTCCTGCCGTTTACAGCCTTCTGGAACTGCTGTGATGAGCACAGCTGCTGGGAAAAATGCACTTGGTGTCTTTCCAGGGAATCAAGAACAACTGGGTTTGCAAGTGCAAGTGTGTGCATCTGTGCGGCAGCTCAGGAGCCCCAGCTCCAGGAACCAAGTGCCCAGCTGTACTGCGGCACAAACTAGCTGCAGGATGGCAGTGGGCTGCAGCAGCAGCCTGATCCCTCACCTCAGTGCAGAGGCTGGGCACTGTCCCTGGGAAAATGCTGTGACAGTGCTTACAGCCTAGCAGCAGGAAGTAAGAGCCCTGCCATACCTCTGGGCATGGGGCTGGATCTGCAGTGGCAGCCCTGGCACTACCACATGCAGAAGGAGGTACCCACAGTGACTGGGGAGTCTGGTGCCATCTTGCATGGCAGAGCTACCTGCTCCCATCTGGCTGAACCTCTCAGATAACATATGTCTGTACAGCAGAGGGTTCACAGTGCTGTGCCCTCCCAGAGAGGTAGGTCATGCTCCAGCAAATCTGCCAAGTTCTAAGGTCCCCACACAGGGAGAGGTGCCCACTGTGGTGGGCACTTGAAGGTTGAGTAGCAGCTTCTAGATGGCTTTGCATTCTATTGTCTCCAGTGGGGTTTGTCTCACATCTGAACAGAAGCAGCAGGGATTGTTTCTTCTTTCTCTTTGGGCCAAAAAGGCTGCATCCTTCCAGAAACCTTTCCAAAACCAGTGTTTGCAACAGAACAGATTTGCAAGAATGACTTCAACAGCCTGGAACAGTCATCACCAGGAGGCAGGAGTGTGGTAGAGCCTGTCCCAAGCCCTTCTGAAGTTCAACACAACTGGGGAAAGGAATGAAGGGGTCTGATCCTGGCATGTTTTCTCTAAGTGCTACCACATTTGGAGAAGGGGGTTTGCCTATACTCTGCCAGGGAAATGTTCTGAGGGTCTCCATCTCCCTGTGAGCTGGGCAGCACCAACAGCAGAGAAGGTACCTAAGGAGTCCAGGAGCCCAAACTCAGAGCAGTCACCTGTGGATTCTCCCTGCTGCCCCAGGGCTGAGTGCTGCTGCTCTGGCCTCTCTGAATGCCATGTCTTTTCTCCTCTGAGCTTGCAGACCAGTAACTGGCTGCAGCCTCTGGTCCTGTCAGTTTGCTGGCTGGTATCTCTGAGGTAGCAGGAGATCCCAAGCTGCTGCAGCTTCATGGGCAGGAATCTTAAGAGTTGTGCATGGACACAGCCCAGCTGGCAGCAGAAATGGACATTTTCTGTAGGCAGGCAGAGAGCTGTACTGCTTGAGGTTGGTGGGGGGAACTGCACCCAGGGCAAGGCTGGCTGAGGCCAGGAGAGGCTTTTGCAAAGCTTAGAGACCCTTGCAGCAGGGCTGGTAGGGCTGGGGTGACAGGGGTCAAGCAGCAGCCGAGGAGCCAACAGAATGCCCACTGGAACAGGGAAGGGGAGGTGAGGGGCACAATGACACCTGTCTGCAGGCTGTAGAAGTTTACTGGGGCCAGGCTTCAACCCCAATACAGAGAGGACTGTTCTGTGCTATGAAAAACAGCTGGGTCCAAAATAGCCCCATTCTTTCCTCCGGGTCTGACAGAGACCCAAGGGTCCAGAAGGCACTGCCAGCTTGCATCTCGGATTCCTGCTTTTCTATTCCCTAAACTAAGTAAAAAGTAAGAGCAGCACCCAAATGCCTCCTCTCGCCATGCAAGGAGGCCAAAGCCACCCAAGCACTGGGAAGGAGAAGCTCCTGACGACTTAAAGCATGCTGGCCCAGCCCCTCAGCAGGAGGTGCTGTGCTTCCAGCACATTTGTTCTGCAATAAATCTTGGTGATAAGAAAGCCCCTGTTTTGATTTGCTATGATTTTTATCTTCCTGCAGGCCAGGTACCTGGTGACTGGTACCATAGGTGAGGGGCCTCTGCACAGCAGTCCGGAGGTCTGGTACTGCCAAGGGAGGCACCAGGGAGGCTGGTACGGACCAGGGCTTTGAGCTGGGTCAGGGCCAGGCAGCCTGCTCAGCACACCCCTCGGCTGGGACCCAGCTCGCTGCCAGGCGCAGGGCCTCGCTGACTGCCCCCCTCCATGTCCAAGCGTGCACACAGGAGCACGCAGATATCCCCTGTATGCCAGGGACAGCCGGAGCCTGCCATCCTGTTCCCAGGGCATGGGATCGCCCAGTTCTGTTCCTGGGGCCGCGCGGCTGGAAGCAGCACGACCCGGGGAGGTGCAGCACTGTGCCCCTCAGATGCACCGGGCACTGTCACCGCCGCTCTTTGGCGACGTGCGTGACAAGGGCCCGCGGGTTCCGTTCACAGGTCCTGCTGCCGTGGGCGGCCAGCGCGGCCAACCCTGCCTGTGTGGGCGGCGGGCGCGCCGCTGCGGAGCGCCCCTTGCCGGCCGTGCAGGGCGGCGACTACAGCTCCCAGCGTCCCTTGTGGCGCCGCAGGAACTACAGCTCCCGGCTGCCCGCGGGCGGCGCGTGCCCCGCCGCGTCGTGCGTGCGTGCGTGCGTGCGTGTGTGTGTGCCGGTGGAGCAGGCCGGAGCGGCGGGGCCGGGGCGATGCTGGAGGAGGCGGGCGAGGTGCTGGAGTCGGTGCTGAAGGCCTCATGTCTGCCGCTCAGCTTCCTGCTCTTCGTGCCCGCCGTACTCCTTCTTTTGGGCCCGCCGCCTGCCGCTGAGGCCGCCCACGAGTTCACGGTCTACCGCATGCAGCAGTACGAGCTGGGCGGGCAGCCCTACGGTGAGAGAGTGCGCGGGCTGAGCGGGATCGGTTCGGCCCCCGGCCTGCGCCAGGCCGGGATTCTGCGGGAGGGCGAATCCCGGCAGCGGCCCCGTTCAGGGCCGATGGGGCCGTGGGAAGAGCCTCGACGCCGGGGGGCAGCCCAGGGTAGGCCGCGAAGTTGCAGGCGGCCCGGGGGGACAGCCCAGCCAGGGGAGGCTGCAGGAGAGCGCGGAGGGCCCTGAGAGGCTGCAGTCGGGCCCAGGTCCAGACCCAGGGAGGGCTGCAGGCAGACCCTATCAGGCCTGGTTTTACTGCCCAGTCTCAACATGAGCAGGAGGGTGCTGAGAGCTCCCATATGGTGATCTAGAGGTGGCCAAGGACCCTGATGTGTCCTTGCGGGCTCCTGTCTGTGGACTGAACAGCCTGTGTTTCAAGTAGCTCGGCTGCTGCCCTCCTGCATGCAGGGGAACTTGGTCATGAGCTCAGTTTTGTTCTCATGCCTTTGACTTCTCTATTGACAGATTATGGTTTTTTTGCTCTTCAGTCTCTATTAGCAGTGTCTATTGCTCCAGTGTCTCCATTTGAGAGTCCTTTCTTTTACAGTTCTTCCTTTGTGTTACAGTTGACCTCCAGTTCCTCTGTTCTATTGCTTCCAGACTGCTGATTGTGCAACACCTTTCTTAAAGTCAGAAACACAACCTGCCCAGTGAATCATTGAAGTGGTGTAACCCTCAGCCTCCATCCACCCTGTACTCACCCAGAATCAAGTGTTGTTTCTGAGTCTTCCATAGATATTTTATTCCAGATGAGGGAGTGTGCTCTGTCTGTGAGTGACTCTTCCTCGTGTCTTTGTTGTGGCCAGAGTTTCAGACTTATGTTAACAGTCTGGCATTACAGTCTTACATTTATTCTGTACTGTCCGTGAGACTCAGTCTCCAGATCTTTCAGGTCTTCATAAGATCAAACATCAGGAGAAGTTATGAAATGCCAGTGACACCTGCATGCTTTGTAAACACTACAGATGCTACAGGTGGCTTCTGAATGTCTGAAATTATTTCTCAGTTCTTCCATCACAGTTTCTCAAAATGTATCCACATCTTGAGATCTTTGTTGTTGAGAACCTCACTAGATCTGAGATAGGATCTCTCATAGAGGTATTAAGCTATTCTTTTTCTCATGTGATGGTAAATCTTTGTTGGCAGTTTTAATGGAGGCAGCAGGCATGTGTTTCTGTTGACTTTGACTGCCCAAGTGTTCTCTCTAGCCAAATGTTCACAACATATTTTGGAATATTTTTTGAACTCTTGAAAAGGCACACACTGTTTTTTAAGATGCTTGCAATTAACTTTTTATGCTGTTTCTTTTTCTGGAGCCTTTTAGCTTGGTAGATTGTGTGTTTCCTTTGTTCCTTGCCAGCCCCTTTGGGTAGCTGATGTTCCTGTTCCATGTATGTTCTGAGGCCAGATGTCCTTCAGGGTAGGAGCTATCTGTTGTTCCCAATTCTCACATTTTTTTCCAGAAGGACCAAATAGAGATTGCTGCTGAGCCTTTTCTTGCCAGGAGGGGAGAAGAGTTTTTTGTCAACATCAGTCATAGAGCAATTTAAGAACAAACTTGGACTTCCTCTAATACTGTTAGAATAGTTTTTTAGACTGTGAACGAACAATTATTAAACAGTTCTCTGTATCAAAACTACAGAAAATCAACTTGTCTGGCAGTGCTATCAGAAAATACTGTTGGGTCTGCTCTGCTTAGATGTCAGAAGAGCAGAACTCTGGATCCACACTTTGATATATTTACACATTGTTGTTTCGGGAATGGTGGATTATCGTCATTATGGATTGTTTTTCTCTTGATGAGGAGGGGCTGCTGTTAATACTTGCTCCAGTGTAGGAGCTCTATGTGGAGAATTTAGGTCATGCCTTAACTCTGTGTCTGGCTGCATGGCCCTCACTGGTACTATGCAGTGGAAGTACAGATTTTTCTTACTTAGGTGATTTGACCTTTGACAAGACCAAACTAATATTGGAGTTAAGCCAGGTTTAAATCTAACCTTTAGCAACACCCCTATTTGGCACAGGCTGAGATGCCTTCTAAAGCACCTTGCTCCTTCCCTGGCTGCATGGGGTCCCAGTGTGATGAAGTCTTCAATGTAGGTGCCAGAGTTGTAGAATAAGAAATTGGATTTGGAGCATTACAAATTGTGAGGTGGATTTGAACATCTCTGTTTATACAAGATGTCCTTGCGGTCCTCTCTTGGAAAATGCTGGAGCTGCGGGCAAGCCTCCAGACTGCTGTTCTCCCAAAGGATTGCATTTTCATTTGAGGGATTTGATATGCTGAAACTGAGAGTAGGAGAGAATAAGCAGTTAGAAGCAGCCTGCTCATTTGTAATTTTCTCAGCCACAGAAATATCCCAGTGGGTGAGCTAGAACAGCTGTTTGGATAGACATGGGGTAGCGTTGTGTCCTTTCACAAAGTGGTTCTGCACAGCTTGCATTCTCTGCGGACACAGTCCTATGGCTGGAGGATGCAGTAGGCTGCATAGCAAGAGGCCAGGCTTTCTCCAGCTGTATTGCTGTCTGCAGGTATTAGGTGCTGGTGAGCAAACAGGTAGCCTGTGTGGTTGTGGTAGGGAGGAAGACTGGAAGGTGATCGAAGCTGTGTAGTGTTGGAGTGAGGGGACCCTGGCAGGACATGGCTGCACAGATGTTGCTGTGGTGGATGCAAGGAAAAAACACAGACCTCTGCTCCTTCTTGGCTGAGGGGGAGGAGACAAACGTAGCTTTCTGCAGGTCATGGCTGTGCTGAAGTTCATCAGACTGTCACCAAAACTGTTCTGAGAGGGAGCTAGGCTCAAGCAAAGGGGATGTGATGAAATCACTTACAAAACGTCTTGCTGATCTTTCCTCACAGGCACCAGGAGCGCAGTGCTTAACACAGAAGCCCGCACTGTAGAAGCAGATGTCCTGAGCCGCCGCTGCGTCATGATGCGACTGGTGGATTTCTCCTATGAGCAGTACCAGAAGGCTCTCCGCCAGTCAGCTGGTGCTGTGGTGATCATCTTGCCACGATCTATGTCTTCTGTCCCACAGGATGTTGTGAGGGTAAAAAAAGTTCTCTGTCTCTTCTGATGGGAGATGTTTTTGAGAGGGAGAGAGGTTTGGGTTGCTGCAGGACTGAAAGCTCCTGTTGTAAGGCACTACAAATCATATTCTAATTTTAAAGTTTACCTTTCTCTCTCTGCTTTAGTTGTTAACTCTTTTCTCCCCTCTTGCATGTTTAGCAGATACTGAGTTTGTGTCTCACTTAAATCCTCAGCAATTCATGGAGATAGAGCCAGAAATGCTTGCTATGGAAACCATTGTGCCAGTCTACTTTGCAGTCGAAGATGAAGAGCTGCTGTCGATCTATGAACAAACGCGGGCTGCTTCTGCATCTCAGGGTTCTGCCTCGGCTGCAGAAGGTGTGTTCTAACAAGTTGGGGAAGGGTTTAGAGGAAGACAGGCCTGTTCTCGCCTCTGTGAGCAGTCTGCAGTGTCACATGCAGCATGAACCAGTGTTCTGTTGCCTTCATGTTTATTCTGTCTTTGTTAAAGTGCTTTGAGATTTAATGGAAGAAAAACACAGTGTAAGAGAGAGTATTACTTGACTATATTTGGAAATACAGCTTCATGGAGTTGAGTTCTCAGCTTCACACTGTTGCAAGTAAGGTAGAAAGCAAAACTCAGGTCAAAAACAACATTGAAGATGTTAAATGACTACAGTGTGTTGGTAGAAGCTGAAGCTTTTTGTCTGACCACAAGTCAGTTCAATGCTTCTATGTATTTCCCTGTAAATAACTTTACTGTCTGACCTGCTGCTCATGAATAACTTTAGGATTGCTGGAGAAGAGTTTCTGTTTTAGCCAGCTCAAAATATTGGCATGTCAGGACAGAATGAAAACACATGGTCACCAGCATTCTGTGTCAATGCATAAACACAAGTGAGAGAGCTTAAATGGTTTAAAGCTTGTCTCTCTAAAGCTCAGTTAGCAAGGGAAATAAAGGGATGAAACTTCCCAAAGTGTCTTTTTTGTTCTAGTTCTGCTGCACACAGCAACTGCAAATGGCTTCCAGATGGTGACCAGTGGGGCTCAAAGCAAAGCTATCAATGACTGGCTCATACCCAGTGTGGAGGTGAGTTGTATATGGATTCAACATTGATGGGATGCCTTCTTTTATTGGCACTTCATCAGACATTTGGGCTGATAGGGGAAGTCAGGGGAGTCTCAGCCAGGTAAGTATCTGAAGTCCTCAGAACTGAGGCCACTGCAGACTCAATAAGCATGTAGAAGTGAGGCTGTCTTTGTACAGGCACATGAGAGGCGATGCTGAGTGGCACTGATCTCTCTCCTCTGCAGGGAAGGCTAACGGGGCTGGGTGGAGAAGACCTGCCCACTGTTGTGATAGTTGCCCACTATGATTCTTTTGGAGTGGCTCCAGTGAGTATTCTTTCTTCCTGCAGCTCCGTGTTCCTGTCTTTTTCCCTACGTGGCCTCTGCCCCTTTGTTTTTTCTTGACCTTAAAGACATGGGACATCTTCGTATAAGCAAAGCATTGTGGTGTGCCATCTTGAAGGCTGTTCTGGTATGTGAGAATAAGTATAGGGTTGTCACCTTGTCTCTGTCCCACTTCATCCTGCAGTGGCTGTCACATGGTGCTGACTCCAATGGCAGTGGTATCTCAGTGCTACTGGAACTAGCCAGGCTGTTTTCCCGGCTCTATACCTACAGACGTACCCATGCTGGGTAAGAAACTGCCCTATTCTTGGTTGAATGTGTGTAGCTGAGATCATATAAGAAGGGCTTTTCCTTCAGACCTGTTACAAGTGGTCCTTCACTTCCTTTGCTCTGCTTTGTTTCCCTCTGAGTACCAACTGCTGTTAATGGCCAAGCTCCTTCCTTTGGTTTCTTTGCTGTAGCTCTGCTTAAGCTTGGAGACAAGTGGGGGGAATGATGTGGGAAGTAGATTCCATCCTCAAGCACTGGAAACTCCCCCCTTTTATCCCATCCTGCCATTACCTTAGTATGTGGCATGTAGGAAGCGTTTGTTAATAGACAGTTTGCCTTGAATGTTAGGTGCTAGCTGTTGTGATTTTACCACACCTTCAAGGCTGAGTAAAGGAGTTCTGTAGCCATGGAATGCAGCATGCTAACACTCTTCTGTCTTCTTTGATGGCCAGGTATAACTTGCTGTTCTTTGCATCTGGAGGTGGCAAGTTTAATTACCAAGGAACCAAGAGGTGGCTGGAAGACAATTTGGATCACACTGGTGAGTAAGGGGATGTCACTCCAGCATGTTCTGTGGCAAGGCCTCTGTTAATATGACTGTGTTAAGTCTAGTATGTCAGCCCTCCTGTGAGAATCTCCTTGTGTGGGCCTTGCTCTTTTGAGATGGAAATCCCTGCACAAAACAGCAATAAAGATTGGATTTTTCTGTTCCAGATTCCAGCCTGCTGCAGGACAACGTAGCATTTGTTCTCTGCCTTGATACTCTGGGCCGAGGCAATAGCCTTCATCTCCATGTCTCAAAGCCTCCCAAGGAGGGGACCTTGCAGCATGCGTTTCTGAGAGAACTGGAGATGGTAATGGAAAACACTTTAGGAAGATGGGAACTTGGGACTTACTGTGGGGAGCTGCAGCTCTCCAATAGAGAAAGGAAGAAAGATGTGAGGAAAGGGTGTGCTATTGAAATATTTCATGTATTGTTTATGGTCACTTGATTTGAAGTGCAGAGAAATCCTCAAGCCATAATCCCAAATGAAGGAGACTGGATCTGCTGCATTTTCCTCTGCACTTCCTTATGGCTTGTTGCTTGCAAAAGCTACCCTGTAGTGACATTAAAACAGCTTTTTAATGTCAGTAACTGCATCTTACAGGTAAAAGTGTATTTGCTTTCTGGAACACAAAAAAATTGGGTCTAGGTGGACTGGGCAGTGCAAGATGGGACTATGCAGTGGGCAGCATGACACCGTGGCTGGCTTGTCCTTTCCCTCAGGTTGTTGCCAGCCAATTCCCAGAGGTGAAGTTTTCCATGGTGCACAAGAAGATAAACTTGGCGGAGGACATGCTGGCATGGGAGCATGAGCGTTTTGCAATCCGACGCTTGCCAGCATTTACCATCTCCCATCTGGAGAGCCACCGGGACAGCCTGCGCAACAGCATCATGGATAGGAGGTTAGGGGCCTTAGGGGAGGCTGCAGTTGACATCCAGCCCATAAACACAAATTGGCCTCATGACTGTTTGTGCTGTTCTGATGATCAGAGGATGGGTGAAAAAAACACTGGGAGTTGGGCTCTGGATTCAGGCTTATGTCTGATGCAGTGAAAAAAGGTGTTTTTTAGAGAAAGCAGATCCCATTGACAAGTCCATAATCCCCTCTTTTGCTTTAGGGCACGGATAGACACTAAGGCACTAACCAGGAATACTAGGATCATTGCTGAGGCTTTGACAAGGGTCATCTACAACTTAACAGACAAGGTAAGAGCTGCTCATGGTGCTTTGCTAGCCAGATTTGTCCTGCCCAACTAAGCTTGCTCTCACCAGTAGCCTGTTTGTTTGTTTTTGTTTTTTTCCCTTGCAGGGAACACCTGCAGATCTGCAGATCTTCACAGATCAGATGGTGAGCACATTGCATTTTTGTAACCTATGGGAAGAAGGGTTCAAGAGTCTGGGAGAGAGGTCTGGTCTTATCATATGTGTGGTTGACTCCCTTTCTCTGGTGGTATTTTTCTGCAGCAGATCCAGGAGGAGCAACTAGAATCAGTGATGGACTGGCTGAGCAGTCAGCCCAGGGCTGCCCAGCTGATTGATAAAGACAGCACCTTCCTCAACACCTTAGAATATTATATGGGTCGCTACCTGAAGGATGTCAAACAGCATCATGTAAAGGCAGACAAACGGTAAGAAAAGAGATGAAAGAACCATCCAGGGCATGCAAACTGGCTTCCCCCTCCAATTAATTTTGTCTCCGAACTGCAGCTTTTCTGGTTTCTTGGCATGTAGCTGGAAATGATTGCTCGTTTCTGCTCTCCTGTCAGTTTTGGTTCATGCTCTGTTCCCCCAGAGAAAGCTCTTTATCATTCCTCACAGCACAGTAACAAGTCTCGGCAGCTCCCTCTGTCTGAAGAGCTTGTGTTTTTTCACTGTTTTGGTTCCACCCTTCCCACTCTGAGTGCTGCTTTTATCTGAATGCAGGAAACAACTAAGATCCCCTAGAAAGCTTTCTTTAATTGCAAAAAGGCAGTTTCCATCCTGTCTAATTTGCTTGGGTTGAAGCAGTTTAATGAACCCAATGAAGTGTCTTGCATGTCCCTCTTCTGACACAGCTGAACAGCGTGTGTTCTGAATTGTATCCTTAAGCTTCTAATTGTAGGAAAAGACAGACCTGACAACTAAAAGCAGCTCAAAACTGGTATGCAAGGTCATGCTTACCTGTCTCTCGTTGGATGCAGTCCTTACTGCAGTGTGAAGAAGTGTAATACAATGTGAAGAATTTGTTCTTTTCACAGGGACCCTGAGTTTGTTTTCTATGACCAGCTGAAACAAGTGATGAATGCATACAGGTATGGAATTCCCTTCAATACATTGGGCTGTTGTCTCACTCTGTGGCAGTACCTGCTGTAGCAATTTCACGTGTTCTTTATTTATTGCAGGGTCAAGCCAGCGATCTTTGACCTGCTTCTGGCTGTCTGTATTGCAGCCTACCTTGGTGTTGCTTATGTTGCAGTGCAGGTAAGAGAAGAGAAGCAGGAGACAGATGTATTCTTTTCCTCATAAATCACGTTAGCTACAGTAACTGGTGCTCACACAGTCCCAGCACCAAAGTTGAAACAATAATGCCACCCCACTCTAAAAGTAGTAATCCAAAATGGTTGGCTGTTTTGATGTGTACGTTTCTGAGTATCTCAGTTGGCTGTGCTGAGGGCAATCTCTTGCCATTCAAGTGAAAATCTATTTTACAGAGCTCTCGGTCAAGGACATGCACAACTAACTTATTAAGCTATTTTGGCTATGTAACAGCTTCAGACTGAAACTTCTCAGGGTAACTAAAATCTGCTGTAATGTTAAAGGTTTGCAGCTTGTAGTAAGTTAGGAGTGCTAGGAGATCCTTCCAGTATTTGAACTTGGGGCGCAGCTTAGAAATGCATCTTCAGGATGTTTATTTGTTTGTTTAGGGTTTTTTCAATGAAACCATAAATACATCCTGTGTCATTATTCCTGGAAATGTGATAGTCCATGCCTTTGCTAGCCAGCTTAAATCTAGTGTTTTTGTTTAGGTGTTGTTAAAGCCATTGTGAACTAGGTTTCTGATCCTGGCTGAGTTCTCTGAAGAATATGAATTGAAAGGGAAGCATTTTAGGTTAATCTAAATTTTGATCTCTTCATGATGTTTGTGTTTATTATTTGTTTGGGTAAACAACAAGCATTTAAAAAACCAATGTAACAACATAAACAGGAGGGAAACTTTTGATTTCTGTCATCTATCTTCATTATGTTTGTTATTACAAATTATTTGAAGCCTGGATCTTGTTATATCTGTCAGATACCTTAAGTAGCTGTTATTGAATTAAAATGCGATTAATCAAAGCAGAATCAGAAGAGGAATTAAGAGAATTTCACTGGTGAGATGGTGAAAGAGAAGATCCAGTTAAAGGGTTGTGAACTACTAGGAATCTGTGTTGGCCTGGTTAATTTTTACATTCTTGAAACTGCTAGCAGCAGTGTTTCTGTGGTGACCAGTATCATGCATGTGTTGAGATCTGAAGCTTTCTCCTCCACTTCAGAAGGAACAGAATTGCATCAAAAAATTTAAAATCTTTAAGAAGCGTTTGCATCTTCACAGTGGGAGTGATACAGGCCTGCACAAACACTTCTGTAAGCTGTCACTTTATGTACATCAAGTAACTGGCTTCATTGTAGTAGTTCCTCATAATTCACCAAGTCCCACTCTCTCTTCAGCATGAGAGTGCTAATGGATGACCAAACAAGGTCTTGCATTTGCACATTATTATTGTTTTAAGCCTTCTAGTAAGTTTTCTCTCTGTGTAGAACAGAGTAATTTTATTAGAACTTACAAGGACTCATGGTCATTTATTTTCTTTGTTTCCAGCACTTTGGTCTCCTTTACAAGATGATACAGAGATTATCCCTTAAAACCAAGCAGCAGTGAAGCAGTGAGTCATCACCCATACAGCAGCACTGAGCCATCGGTGAGCCCATTGGGAACCTTCTGCCTTCCATTGAATCCTACTGTTTCTCTTCCTCCATCTCCTCTTTGCTACTCTATAGAGGGGAGAAAGGCAGAAAGAAAATGAATTTTTAACTCTTGTGCACCTTTTAAGTGCTTTTCTTCACCTTCTTCCCCTGACTTGCACCATGTCTGTTTTCCTTAGCTTTTTGGTGAGGGAGAGGCTCAGAGACTTCAGTAGTTTCTGTGGGTTGTTTAAACACTGAACGGCTGATTCTGAGCAGCTTCTATGAGTGTAAAACCAAGTCCAGCACCTTCATGGACACATGTGCCATGCAGCCAACTTGGAAACTGAAGCTACAGAGTAGAGTGACATGTTATCTCTGCTCAGCAAACAAGGACCGAGAGCAGTTGTTTAAAAGAAAAAAAGTGCACATGTGAATTAAAGAGAATACTATTAGCATGTTTTCTTATGGCACCTCTTCCTTAAATTCACTGCCTGGCTTTAGGAAGGTGTGCTGAGCAAGCAGTATCTGCAGCAAGCAGCAGTATCTGCAGCAAGCATCATCTTGCATTTTGTTTAGACTGTGCAATAATTCATTCTCTTTTAGGAGGTGCACTCTAAATGATCTTAACTGTTATTGACAGAATGAGGAAAGATTGTTAAAATGGTTCCTTGCATTAGGGTTCTTAGCAGGACAGGTTCTCTCCTGTCTCTATTGGAGGATGAATTCTGCTGTGTACTTGATTTCTCTTAAAGTTTATTGTTCTTGAACAGTTCGTGGCTGCCACCACTCTGTGCTAAACTCTTGCTTGGTTTTTATGGAGTGTTCTACAGTCCCAACTGCTTCAGGATCATGTTCTGTGCTGCTCCATGTATTTAAACAAGTTGATTATATTGAGAGCAAGAGCAACTCTGCTTCTGCTGAGTTCTGGTCTCTAATCCCTTCAGTCTTCATTCCTTAGTTTTTACTTCCAGATGGGTTCTGGATTTTGGGGTGTTTTCCCATGTTCACTTGCATCTCAGGGTCTCACTTCACATTTTTCAGCTCTGTTATTTCTGGAAACATCGTTCCTGGCCTGCACATATGAGCAAGTTCACAAACTACTTGTTGTGTCCTTTCATGTGCTGCCCCTAGTATATATGAAGGGAGGCAGGTCACTTAGCCATTAAAAAGCAAAACAAAATGAAAAATGAAGTTTTATGACTGTAATTATAAACATGGCTGTTTCTAGAACTGTAGCTAAGAGGGTGTATCTTGGAACACACGCTCTGAGTTTTTTATCCTTGAGCAAGCCTTATTTTTAGTTTGATGATGCTTCTGGATGGAGAGAGCTATGTAGTTGCCCCAAATATTTGGCACTGCTGTGCAAAGATCAGGAGGGCTAGGTAACCAGTTGCTCAAGCATTGTCATAATCTTAAATTGAAGTCCTTCCTGAATTCCATCATCCCAGGTAAGCAGGATACTTGTCACCACTTCCTGGTGAGAGTTGAATGCCCTTTCTGGGCAGCGTTGCACTTTGTTTACTCTCAAGTTCTTCCGGAAAATCTATCAAGATACTGACTACAAGTCCTAGGCTAGTTGTAGTTCTAGAAGATTTCTGGATTGAATACTACTGTCCTGCCACTCACTCAACAATATTTGACTTCGTTCTGTAATTTGTTCTATGCACATGAGGTCTCTTCACAGGCCACGGTGACTACCTTTTTTTTTTTTTTTTTAATTACTACTTGTATTTAAAATAGTATCTTTTACAGAGGCTGAAAAGCTCATGTGGGTTTGAATGAACGTGTACCCTTTTTTTTATACGCAAGGAAAATTGAAGCTGTGCATCCTTGTCTGTACCACAGCTGCTGTGTGCACACTTGTTAGAAAAGGGGTTATTGTGGCCAGTCACTGTCCTTGTCCTTTGGATGGGAACCAAAGCACTGATTTCTATCCATCTTTCTTTGTATCGCTGTAGTCTCCTTTGTGGAGTACCTTTACCCCATAATGTGTGCTTTCTGCTACTTTAAATGTGTAGCAACTTGTTCTTTAAAGGGTCTATTATTTTCCAGGAGAGTGTGCTGATGTCAGTGGCTCACTGTACTATCAGCAGGTGGCATGGTACCAACCACTCCTGAAATATCAGCCCTACAGGGAAACTTGCCATTTTCTGATCTTTTGAGTGCTTATTTAAAATATGTCTCTCTGCATGTGTGAAGTGTTTGTGACACTCTTCTGCCAAATGAATTTATGATGACTTCAGAAATCGCTAGAGTGGCTGGAAGACAAACCTTGATTGTTTTCCACTGGCTTTATATGCTCTGCTCTTAGAGACTGTGTATGTTGTGCTATGGGAAGGTGCATGCTCTGGACTGTGTAGTTTCAGAACACGCATAGTACAGTGGCTATCTGAAGAACTTCCTATAGGTTCTGAATATCTGGAAGTAGTTTCAGAGACCTCCAGCTGCGTCATGTTTCTAGTGTGTTATATTTCAAGAGGGTGATGTTCCTTCTAATCCAGCTGATTACTTAACTAGGCTTCATGAAACTGTTACCTCACTGAGAAAAATAGAAAAACCATAATTATTAGCAATCCTGCTGCAGCTTGACTTGTTGCATGTAAAATTTGCAAGTATTGGGCAAGTGAGAACAGAACAGGCCTGGAGTATTCTTCCTTGCAGTGAAGACTGTCAACCTTTGGTCTTCCGAATGAGAAGCTCAAAGTTCAGAATAAAAAACTTCCACCAAGGCAACCTGGTGTGGTTGCAGCTATGTTGCTGTCAAGGTTGTAGCATTAAAGCAAACATTTCACCCCCTTGTGGTCTCAACAATAAACTGCTAACACTCCTGAAGCCAGTAGCAGCTATCCAAAAGACAGCTGGATAGAGGTAAATGAGGAGAGTTCATAAACTTGAAGGGCAGTTGGGATAGTACATCACTCTCCCACACAAGGGTCATTTGTCCTCTAATCTGATTGGATGCATTTTGTGTATCTCTAGCTGGCTGCCATAGAAAGTAGTTTTTACTATAGATACGGGTTTATGCTTTTGATCAAAGTGCATGTGCACTGAAACATTATATACTCTAATCTGAGATGATAAAATTCCAACTTTCTCATAGCTGGAACAGAGTGCCCATCCTGGGAGTGAACTTAGTTCCCATATTGCTGTTTCCTTTGGGAAGTTGACAGAGAAGCTTGTAAATAGACCCTGCTATTCTGATAGGTTTTGAAAAACACAAGAAAAATGCTGCTGATCCATACTACGGCATATCGGATCAATTCTATCACCAACATGACATACAAAGGCAGAAATCCAACAGCTGTTCTGGTAAAATAAAAGTTCACACCACTGCAGAAGAGCTCTGCGTAGCTGATTCTTGCTGCCCCTATTTTTACCTATCCTTTTTATGAGGAGTTTTGCTGCCCTGAAGGAAGAAGCATGGAAAGCATATGTCTACATATACACAAGTGGCTAGCAGTTGATGCTTCTAGCCATTAAACAATTTTCTTTGCTATTTGTCTGACTTTACCTGTTGTCCTGGTGCTGTCAAAGTCTGCAGCTCACAAAAATCTGTTTTTTCCAACAGAGTTTAAGCACTGAAGCTGTTCGTTGCTTCTGTTCACTCCCACCCACGCAGGCACTAATGGGGATTGTATGCAAGTAGTTTGGATTATTGTAGTTGATCTCTCAAATAAGAGAGATTGCTTCATTGTTATGAAATAAGTACTACTGTGCAGTATGAATTCCACCCTAGTACTCCATGCTCAGAGCAAAGACGCTGAAGCCAAAATGGAACTAGGTACCCCACTGTCTGTGGCTGGAGGAGTCACCACAATCTATTTAGAGATTTAAAACCACAGATACCCAAAATTGTTGTGGGGCTTGGTTTATTTGTTTGAAATCATGTGGCTTCACATTGTTCATAGCACAAGCCAGAATACCAAGCTTCTCCTGCACCTTGTGGCCAAGCTGGGTTTTACGTTTAAGAGCCATTCAGTCTTACCTTACTGATCTGAAATGGTGGAGGTGCTACTATATTTCTCAGTAAATGGGGCCTCTCGGTACTCGAGTGTGGGCTCCAGCTCACTTCAGTCTGTTTAGTGTCCATTTGTAGTTATTGGATAGCAACTTCAAGGTTATAATCTTAAATATTTGCAGCTCAGGAAAAAGAGTTGAATGAAAAAGAATGTTAGTTCAATTATTTATCTCATCTGTGTCCTAAAGAACAAATGTATATTGAGGTGAATATTTAAAAGCTAATAGAAAATTTAATGCAGTTGATTTACATATTTTTTTCTGACTATAAATGTAATAATATTTAAGTATTTTAACATTTTTCATTTCCTTACTTGTTTGTCCCCTTTTTCCTTGGAAAAATAAACTGAGTGAGTAGGTTTGAACATCTTTGTTGAAGAACTACTTGATGGAAGCTCAAAAAACTGGAATCTCCTTTAATTATTTGGAGGAATAGACCCCCTGCAAAATTGGAGAAAATACATGTGTTTAAGAGCTTATATCATCCCTTTTATGCAGTCAAAACTAATCTAGTATGACAGAAAACATTTACAGATCTTGAGCAAGATTCCAGCACCTTGAGGTGAACAAATTCCCATTTATTCAAAGGGTTCGTGCTGATTTGAAGCGATGAACATTTCTGTGCAAGACAGCTTCAACACTGAAAAACTGGCTACCCAAGAAGCCAGCAGTCTATGCTAGAGGTAGATTGTTGTGCCTCTGTCATTACCAAATGACTTTTTGAACATGTATAAACTATTTATTCAAATTATAAACATTGCAAGAGATCTGTTCCCTGATCGTGAGTCAGTCCAAGTCTTACAAACCAGTGGTCATAGTTGTAGAGGGGAAGACTGACCTGAATACAACAGAAGGGGGAAAGACAGAGGTTGTACTTTCATTCTGCCTCCTCATAATGGCCAGGAGGTTTCTAAGCAGTTCTCCTCGGTAAGACCTTTCTTTCAAGCATCAGCTGCCCCACCGTCCCCCATGTGTTGTAAGGATGTACAAAGTCGAGTCTCTGTCTTGCTGCGTGCCTTGCCCAGCCGCAATGACAGGCTGGCTGCAGGAGGCCAGGCTTCTGCCGCTGGATGAGTTTGCCAAATCGCGGGAGCGCCTTTCTCAGCTTCGTCCCTCGCGTTCCCCGCTGGCGATGCGGAGCAGGGGGGGGGAGCCCAGCCTGCTGCCGGTGTGGTTCCGAGGCGGCTGGAGCGTGTTGCAGTGCCCGTCGCCTGTGGAACCACCCCCGCCCCGGGCCGGCCCGGCGCCTTCTCGCTGTGGCTCAGCCCGCCGGTTGCCTTCCCTCTCGTGGCCTGGAGGGTCCCTGCCCCGGCTCGGCGCGGGGCACAGAGGGAGCAGCGCTGTCATCGGCCCGGCCCGGCCCGAGCCGGGGCCGCCATCCCGGCCGCAACCCGGAGCGCTCGGAGCCCGGCGCGGGCCGAGCGGCCCGGGAGGAGCACGCGCGCAGCGCCGCGGCGATTGGCCGGATGGCGGGGGCGCGGGCATGGCGGGAAGAGCAAGATTGGTGGGAGTGGCAGCGGGGGGCGGGGCTTGGCTCTTGGAGGGGCCCGCGGACCGGCGGCCGGCTGCACGCGCCGCGCGCCGTCAGGTACGAGCAGCGCCGAGAGGAGAGGGAGAGCCGGCCCCGAGGGGGGAGGCGGGAAGGGGGAGAGGGGAGAGCCAGCCCCGGGAGGGGAGGAGGGAGGGGGGAGAGCCGGCCCCGGGAGGGGAGGAGGGAGGAGGGAGGGGGGAGAGCCGGCCCCGGGAGGGGAGAGGGGAGGGGGAAGCCGGCCCCGGCCCCGCTCCCTCTCCCTCTCCCTCTCCTTGCACGGCCTGTCCGCTCCTGGGCTGACCCGCGGTGACGCGCGGCTCGTTCCGTAGGATGCCCAAGGACACGGAGTTGGTGGGCATGAGCAGCTCGGAGAGCGGCCCGGAGGAGGAGGAGGAGGAGGAGGGGAAGGTACTGCCACTGCCGGGAGAAGGGAAAGCCGGCAGCAGAGTTTCCCGGTCGGGTCTCGGTCCCGAGGGCAGGTGGCACGCCTTTCCCCCACCCGTAGCGCGGGTCAAGCAGAGTAAGGAACGCGGCGGAGCCCCTTCTCCCCGTCACCGACAGCCGAGGTACCTGGCGGTAGCAGTGCACCCAGCATGTGTGCCTTGTTTGTGGACTGTGGAACTGGTGTGCTGTGGGAGGCTCAGGTAGGGCCCAGGAGAAGGGCTGTGGCTCCTCAGACCAGGCTGTTTAAATTAGTGATCTCTCTTTCTACAAAAGAAAGTAAGAAATGTCTTATAAGTCAGAGAAAAGGCTGAAAACAGAGGCCAAACCTTCAAAGGTGATAGAAAAACCTCTGGGACAAGGCAGTGAAGAAGAGGGCATGTTCTAGGTATGGAGGGCAAGGATCAGCCTTAGGAACACATCTTCCTCTTTCTCTTTACACACGTTTCCCCTCTACCTCCTCTACTTGTAGCAGAGCACTCCTGTAGCTGAGCTGACTGGCTGGGGCGTCTGCTGTTCCTTCACTAGTCCTCTGGCACATTGAGTGCCCCAACAGGCCCTACGGGCTGAGGAGCAGCTTGTTGCAGGGCTGGGCTTAACACAGGCTCTGTGTTGCCACAGATTGGGAAGCTGTGTTATGTCAGCGTGTCCTGCTTCAAGGGGAAGGTCCTTGTGGACATCTGGGAGTTCCATGCTGACAAGGAGGGCAGCATGAAACCAGGGAGGAAAGGTACAACTGCATTGGTGAGGCAGTGGCTGGGGGCCACACCGGCCTCTCCAGCTCTGGCTTAGCCTGTCTCCCTCGGTGGTAGGGAGGCTTGGTGCATGCCACACTAAGGGGCTGGGGAGCTGAACAAACCACATGGGTGTGTTTAGCACCTCCTCAGCCTGGGTGGCAACAACTGAAGAAAAGCACAAAGAGCGAGTGAGTGTGAGCCCCCAGTGAGATCTGGAGCTTGGCAGGACTGCTCTGAGAAGCAATGCAGGAAGCTGCTGTACAGGACTCTAGTTCTACCTCTGATCACCAGTCTTTCCTCTGACTGTTGGCAGGGGCAGAGCTGCAAGGTGGAGGAAGAGAGGCTGAAAACACTGTCTCTGATGTTGCTTCATTGTATCCTACTGCTAGCTGACAAATTTTGGCATTGGTGATGCCTAGGGCAAAAAGGTGGCATTTTGAGTGTTTGCTCCTAATCTGTAATGGTGGAGCTATGTTTGGAGGGGAGAGCCTCCCAGAAGTAAATACATTCTTACCTATCTAGGTAGAGACAGGAAGGTTAAGACCCTTCTGGATCCCTACAAATACACTCCAATGTTGTTGTATTAGGTGTTCCTTATTCTTTTGGCAGGGTGTCTGATGTTGTGATATATTGGCACAACTTGGGTGGTCCATCACAGCAGCACTACATGAGTAGGTGATACAAGCAAAGGTAGATGGAGAAGGGAAGACACGTTTTTTTTTCCAGAGCTTCTCAAGTGATGAGTCAATGCTCAACTTAGGCCTTTTGTTTTGGGACTTTGACAGTGACTTGCCAGCTTGCCTTGTAGTTCACAGGCCCTGGACTCTTTTCACTTGTCCTGTGTGTTGTGCCCAGCAAAGATTCAATCGAGGTAGGGTTTCTTGAAGAACCCCTTGGTCCCTGCTATAGATTTTTTGTGTCAGGGCAGACAAATTTGTTTCAGCTCAGTTTGCCTCATAACCACTAAGTGTGGTTTTCCTTCCAGAAATTAATTTCCTTCAGAGAAGTTACAAGTGTAAATTACTCACTTAGAGAGAACTCTGTACCCTGTAATGAAAATGGGAAGCAAAGCTCTCAAGCTTTTCTGTGCCATTTGGGGCAAAGAGGGACCGGAGCATTATGGACTCCTTCCAAGCTGCAAAAAGCACACCCACGATGTAAGAAAGAAGATCTGTCAGTTAAAACAGAGATCTGAAGAAATGTTTTTTTCATTTAAATACTGCCTCTGCTGTTTTTCTCAAGAGTCTGTCCCCTGATATTTATCTAGAGAATTTAATAAAGCTTGGGCCCCAGTTCTTTAATATGATTTTTAACAAAGCCAAAAGGAATAATTTGACAACATCTGGCTGGAACCCACACAGCAATTCCACTACCGTGTTTGTTTTGTAAGGGAGAGGGACAGGACATCAAGATCTTATCTCTGCTAGATTAAAAAGAAGCCAGTTATTTTCTAGTGTTTAAGCTACCCTAGTGATTTCTTGTTAGCAGCAGTTTTTTTAAATAGAGCCAGAACTGGCATTATTTCCTTTGGGCAGCTGAAAGAATGGTGTCCTAACTGCTTTGTGGAGTAAGGTTCTCCTAGAATTTCTCCCCAGCTCATGTTGGTGGGAATTT